CGACGCCGCTCATAAAGCATCCCTTCATGCGTTCACATAAGCTCTCCCAAGACGCGTCTGTGTCGAAAACCTCGGTGAGAAACCATCGAAAAGCCTCACCTTCAAGGTAATCGGAGAAGTAGCACAGCTTGTCTGGCTCCGTCCATGCTGCGGCCGCAGTCCTCACCTCAAAGAGCCGCAGCCACTTGTCAAAGGGGACGTCCGTAGATGCTCCCGAGTACTTTGGGATGTTGATGACTTTCTTGGATGTCGCCATGATGAAGGGCACAGTAGATCCTGTCGACTTGTGTGACGCAGGAGACGTGATGGCTGTACGATGAACCATTTATTTTTCTTCGTCTTCCTCCTTCTCTACCATTCCACCACACCGCTCTCGTGTGGTTCGTCACATATATATATAAATTGTACAAACAACCACATATGCTAATTGTGCGACAAGTAATGGGTTATACTGTGCAGGAATAAAGTGTACGGATGTTGGTGTACCGGCCTTGTAGCTTCATCTGTTATTATTCGGTGTTTAACAACCTGGGTCTGTTGTACTTTCGACGAGGTAGAGAAACATCTGGCGAAGTCTCTTATGAGGTCTTGAATGATTTTCTACTCGGCTGGTGATAGATTTTGGCTGATTGCAACTCTTGCTGCGACATCGGGTGCAGGTTCCGAAGCAGGTGGCCCTGACACCAGAACACATAAGTCTGTCACTGTTTCAAAACCATGCAGGAAGGCGATAGCGGTGTCCTTTGCAACATGCTCAATTTCGTTTCCGAAATTTGTGAGCAATACATCGGCAAATCCACCATGTAATTGAATAATGCCTCGAGCTACACAAATGCCTTTCTTGAGCAGTAGTTCGATGTTAGGATTCACTTTACCTTCAGAATCAACAAATGCTTCATTTCTTACCTCGATCATTATGCTGCATCGTTGCGGCACGGTAACATCACAATCTATAACATGTAATGCAGTGTACTCTGTCTCAATAGTGTCTATGGCGAGTTTCGTCAAAAAAAAGACACTAGAATTCTGCAGGTTGATTATAGCTCCGTTTGCTAGCAGAAAATCCATTCTGAGTACATGTATTACATCTCCAGAGCATTCAGGAAGTACGACAAAGTCAGCAACATAAGTAGCACCTTGAGTTCCGATTCTTGCTGTACATCTTCCAAGAAGTGTAATGAGACGATCCCCAGCCATGCGTATTTGGGGTCCACTCCCAAGGCGTCCAACTTTCTTTAAATCTTTTGTGGCAGCATAACTGACAACCGAATAATCAGTACCTGTGTCAACTAAAAGGTTAAATTCACATCCATCTACGGTTACGCGTAAGTCTGAAGAAATATTGTCTTTACCTAACTTAGTTCTAGTGTTCCACTCATCGTTGCTGCACTAGTACTTTGACGGAGGATCTTCAGCTGGTCAGACATCAGCCGCTTTGCCTCCACAAGTCGCTGGCTTCAGTTTTCCTGGTGGGGACTGCTTGAACCACGGCGTGTTGAGGTTGAAGGTAGAGAAGGTGAACCAGATCGTCGAGGGCTTGGTGATCGATAGCGAGCAGGCACTGGTGATCTAGGCTGATGCTGGAAACCAGCAGCTGGAAACAGATGGCCGGAAAAGTAATCTTCGATTTCAATGGGTCTTTCGCCATTTTGGGAGCATGGCACGTTTAGAGAAAACCCACGGAGACCAACTCATCGATATGGACACATTCTGTACAGGTGCCCAGTTTCCCTCCAATGAAAACAGAGCGGCGTCCTGTCGGGTGTGCGCCACACGTCGCTTTTCCGTGGCCTCGAACTAGCTGGATAGTTTGAGCCATGCGAAGTCGGTCAGTAGCCACTGCATACTGCAAATGAAGCAATATGCACGGCGGGCTGACGCACAGCATCGGCGTAAGTAGGTGCGGGGTGTTCCTGCAATTGTTATTCAAGTTGAACAGGTTGCGCCTCGGGTTCCGCTTGTAGAATGACGTGGCAAACTTCATCTCCGATCAGGGTAGTGAGAGACGAAACTGGTGGTGCGACTTGTGGGTGCAGCAGCTTCCAGGAGCTCTTCCTTCACATTGGATCACACCATTTCCCTCAATACTTCGCTGCTGCTACCCAGGTTTGCTAAGAGGACATCTGCAGGAACACTACTGGCATCATGATTGTAGTGACGGGAGTGCTGTGGTGACAGGAGCTCTATGGTGGTGGCTTCGGTGTAGGATTCAGCAACTGTACGAGGTGGGCAAATAACTCCTGTTTGACACCTCACATCAAGTGACGCAGCTTCTTCTCTTTGGTCATGGTTGGGTCAGCACGTTTAAAAAGGTGGGACATGTCCTCAATATACATGCCAATGCTTTCGTTTGTGCGCTGGTTCTTGGACTGTAGAGCATTCTCCGCCTTCTCTCGGCGATCGGTGTTGGCATATGTAGCTACTATTTGTCAAAATTCTTCCCATGTCGGTATGAATGCTTCGTTGTTTTCATACCACGTCCTCACTGCATCCTCCAATGTGAAGTACACGCGATGCAGTTTTCTTGCTTTGTCTCAGCCGTTGGTCTTCATAACCAGCTCAAAGTACTCTATTCAATCTTCTACATCTTTGAACGTGTCGCCATAGAAGGGCTCAGGCAAGCACGGTGGGGACAGAATAAGTTCTGATAATGTCACCTGGCAAGCCATCGTTCCGTTGTCTGTGGATGCTGCTTAAGTTGCTGGAGCACTGGGGAGGGGTGAGAATCCAGGCGACTCTCCTTGAAGGCGGCGGCTTGAACGCTGGTGTACCGGAGTCAGTTTGCCAGGTTCCAATCGTTGAGGATCGGGCCTACGCTCTCTTGTGCCAAGAGGGCTTCCAATCATACTCAGCACCGTCCACCAGAATGTAATGGATTCAAGATAAGAAACACCAAATAGCTAGTTTATTATGGGGGAACTTGTTCTCTGAAAACTATGTGCAAAAATGAAAGAGCCTGCTAAAGCGTTCCAAAACAAAAACTGTTCATCCGCCAATGCGCCTTCTTCTTCCTCGCAGGTCCAACCCACACTGACTCGTGCCCGTGAACGAGAGGCATGAGTTGTGCGGCCACAAGCACCACCGAGCACAAGACTGTGCACGATAATTCTTCATAATATCGAATAGTGTAGTTAGTCTCTGTGGCAATATCACAGATGTATATACCCCATAAAATGGATGGGGGGGGGGGGCACTGCGGTTTCTCAGTTGGTAGAGCATTGGGTGCGCTGTTTGAAGGTCGCAAGTTTGGTCCCTGCCCGCGGCAAGTATTATTTTTGACCACTTTTCTTTCTTCACAATTACGTATATACAATCTATAACATACTTTGCTTGGGATTGTAGTCTGTTCTAATCAAATTAACTTTTCTGCAAATGAACACGTATGCTATAGCACAACCTACATAACCTATGCCACTTGAACACACGCCGATGGCGTCATTAGATGAAACCTGAAAATTATAAGACGAGTGAACTAACCAAGTATAATCTTCATCAGGTTATTAAACAACAGAAAGGAGAAATTTTTCTGCCATACGGTTCTATCGAAACTATATTGGCACACCTGGTGTCATATTTTGTGAGCATAATAAGCCCCCATAATATCTCTAATCGCCAGATCTGTACTAGCAAAAATACACACAGTATCGGTAAATTTTGCTGAAAACGATCAAAACCACCGGTTAAAAATTTCACAAGCAACTTTTGTTGAGAAGATAAAATTTGAAGTTAGATGCACAACAAATACTAACTCGTGAGGCCACGAGAATCGTGCACTGTGGTTATCGCTTTTATGCCGGACATAGAACGAGAAGGACAGCGCCACTATAGCAGCAAGAAATTTATAACCAGAACTTTAATACAGCCCAGCTGCTAGGCAGACAGTTGGACACGAACGTAGGACCACCCAAAGACATCTGGCAATGTACCGGTCTAGTGACCTGCTTTTCAAAACAAATCTTTTGTAGCGCTTTGTGGGGTGCTCATGTGTCCTTTCGTTTCCATGCAATTCACCAACGAGCCCACACTGCAAACTTCGTGTTGACCGCACTTGCTACCCCTCCCTACCAGTGTGTCAACGGCTCTTTTTATTATGCCCGATTTCGCAAAGTGCATCCATAAGTAAAAAATTATGAACCATCTCCCCGAAACCAACGTAGATGGGATGCGAAGCAGCATAGGCACCCACGCCGTTGACCTGGCTAAAACGGGCATCAACGCGGGTGCTGCAAGAAGGTTTGAAGCGAAACTCAATGTAGCCTTTACTCGAGTAAAGGTTTCTTTGAAACACAAACACACGGGAGGCAAGTTGGGGAATCATGTAAGTTCCATCACAAATAAACGAACCGGAGGAGTGTTCCCGCTTGACGTGCAGTCAAGCGTTGCGGGTGTTGAAAAGGGTGAAACGAGAGATTAGTGTGTTGCGAGCAGGGGGAGGAGCAACAACACCTAGGTGTGTTGGGAAGAGCCAGCAGCGGGTGAGGGAGAGAGTGACGTCAACATACAGCTGCGACTTGACCTACATGGCATCGTTCCAAGTGCGGCGGGGGGAACGCAGTGTGGTGCGTTGGAACGCAGACTTGTACAGACAGCATTATACAGGCTAGTCAGTGAGCTGCTTCGCATCTCAAACCATGCGAATCAAACACGGACAAAAATTCACGCAGTACAAGCATCGCCAGTGCACACGACGTGTCATTAAACCGAACCTAGAGATAGGCGTGCCTCCCACATTCTTCTTTTCTACTCCGCTCACCCTTAGATGATTGAGCCCTCCTTGAGCCTTCCTCATGTAATTCTCTTGTCCGCACAACCTGTCCTTTCAGGATGAATTTCTTCACCCTATACAAGTCACTCAAGACAGTGCTTCGATAACCCTTGCTTTCCAGCATGTGTTTCGACAATACCTATATTGTAGCCACATACTTCTGCGAATGCCCCTACATCACATTTAGACGGACCTGAATGAAAATTGATCAGCTCTCCAGATTTGCACCACTCACCAAGAAAAGCGACGCACGTGGAACATGGGCGGGGCACGCACTGAATGGCGACGCGCGTGATCACACCTAGGATGCCTTCGGAGCCAATGAACAGATGCTTCAGGTCGAGGCCTGTGTTGTCCTTGCGCAACGTCTGCATGGTGTCCAGTATGGTGCCATCTGCTAGAACCTGCATGATGCACACTACTCTGCACGCTACGTAGTGACGCAGAGCTATCCAAAAATTGACTATCGAGAATGTCATGTGCATGGAGCGACTAAGTGACACGACAGCCAAGTGACACGACGTCATGTTATTGGCAGCCCTTACTATAGAATGCGTTACTGGGCGAGTTAGCACATTGTCTGAAAATAAAAGTAGAGCGCAAAAAAACAACAACACAGAAGGCATGTAGACTGTAACGGGCACTTACTACCAACTGAATTAATTACAAATGAACTGTGGGAAACAAAGATCATGCATCCCAAACATGGCTGCACACTCATCACAAAGCTGCTCACCCAAAAAAACTAATGAATATTACGACAAAGCAAAGAAACCTGTACATGCGCTGCCGTCTGGCAGTACTGCTACATACTACATCAATAGTGCAGCCTGGTACTTGTACTGTAGTACACGACATGCCCCCGTGGTAAACTAGGACTAAACTCGTGCACCAGAATTGAAGGAAAACAATATTTTCAGGTCAATTATTTTTGGCCTGCAAATCCTTCTGCCGTACCACGAGACGCGTGGCGTAGAACCCTAAGGTTCCTTCATAGTGGAGGTGCTATGGTTTGGCAGGTCTTAGACGGCTTGGTCAGCCTCAGGCCATCTCAGCTGGCCTGCAGGTCGTGTCAGTGTAGTAGTCTAGGACAGGACCACCACAGAAATTGCAGGTGGGCTGGCCATGTGTTCTCCAGGACATCCTGTCGTTAGCACTTGGTGCTTCTAGTCATTCTAAAGTACACGAGTCGGTGTCTCCACCACGTAGGAGCGCAGGCATTGAACTGGCCCCAAGACTGTCGCTGGGGGGTTGACGTCTTGTACCCAGACCTGTTCTCCAATCTATAAATGCCGCAAGGTGTGAGTCGCATTTCATTGGTCGAAATCTGATGCTTGGCGCCTGTGGTTGTTTTGGTCATGTTAATTGAATGGGACCAAAGGGGGCCAAAGCTGGTTCCAGTATGTGCGACGTCTTTGGAAGCCGAGTCTCTAGACCTCTATCCGTAAGCAGCTGAGAAGGACTCACTCCGTCTACACCAGGTGAGTCCTAGTATACCAGAAGTTCCAGGTCGGGATCATCTGCTTCCACAGCAGGTCTTTGACTGTGCTCACCATCCGTTCCACCTCCCTGTTCGACTGCAGATAATGGGAGCTGCTGGTGACGTGGCAGAAGCTATAGAACTCAGCAAAGTCAAAGAATCCTCTCGCAGTAAACTGGGGATCGTTGTTGCAGCGCACCAATCTCAGAATCCCATGGCATGCGAAGACACCCTTGATGGCATTGATGACCGCAGGTGCTGTGCTCGAACGCAGGATGATGACATCTGGAAAGCGGGATTGGTAATCCACCATAACGATGTAGTCTTGACCGTTCAGGTGAAAAAAATTGATGACCTTTTCCCTGGGCAGAGTTGGAGTGGTTGACAACAACAAATGCTCCGAGCACTGCTTCCTGGTTCCAGTGCAGGCAGAGTAGTTCGGCACCAGTGTTTCTATCTGGTTGTTCATGCCTGGCCACCAGACTGACTCCCAAGCTAAAGCTTTGCATTGGTTGATGCCTTTATGTCCGTGATGAAGGAGCTCTAGCATTCGGCGCTGTAGAGCGAACAACGGGACAATGCGAAAATACTTTACAAGCAGTCCCTCGCAGACGCTGATACCGCGAGTACTTCGTCACATGGAGATGAAAGTGGGAGTGTTGAGGCCAGCTGTTGGCGCAGTACTGAAAGAGCAGACTGCACTCACCATCAGTGGCTTGGGCCTGGCTCAGGTGCTCGAGCTGCGATGAGACGATGTCTGGGAAGGAGCGGACGACTTCTTGGGCAAAGAGCTCTACTTGATTAACACGGTTGGATGAAGGAGAATAAAGCGGTGCGTGGGAAAGCACATTGGCAGTAGCCAACTGCTTCCCTGGTACGTATAGGGTACGTGATACTAGAAGCTTATAAGCTTCAAGCAAAACCGCTGGAGCTGTGATGGAAATACGTAAATGTCCATGGAACCCAGGAGCACCACTAGTGGTTGGTAGTCTGTCTCGAGGAAGAAGTTAAGTCCACGAACAGATTTCTCCAACCTTTGCACCGCCCAGATGCTGCCACAGCTTCTATTTCTGTTTGGCTGTACCAGAAATCTGTAGGTGTCAAGGAGCGCGATGCAAAAGAGACGGCTCGACATTCACGAGACGGCTGTTCTTAGAAAAGTACTACCCCGAGACTGCAGAAGTTGGCATCAGCTGAGATCGTGGTGTTGTATGTGATGGTGTACCGAGCCACGCGGAGGTGACCGCAGTAGCTTCTTCAGTTCAGAGAAAGCAGAGTGCTTCGCCGGGCCCTAAGCCTAGGCAGACCTCTCGAGCAGCAATGTTCTGATTGGTGCAATGACTTCTGAAACGAGGGGTGAGAAGCATCCAATGTGGTTCATAGGACCTAGAAGACGTCGAGCTCCTGCGACATCTTCGAATGGAATCATCGCTTCGATCACCACCACCTTGCCTGGTTCAGGAGAAACGTCATCCGCGCTGACCACAACACTAATGAATTTGATGAGAAGTGACGATTGAACACTTCGAGCAGTTGAGCGTGACCCCTGCCTATGCTAACCGATCCATGATTTCTCGGAGTCAGCAGTCATACTTGTAGTGCGTCTTCCCAATGACGAGGATATCGTTGATCATGCTGCCCCATTTGCTAGGCCTTCCGGGATTTGAGATGTTGCATCCCACCGCAGAACAATGGGGGCAAGCAGGAAAGCCATGGATGCCGAACTGTTCATGTCAATGAACGTGATAAAACTCCAATTTGATTTGTACAATGCCATATACACTAAAGTAACTGGATATGGTCCCAACGGGACCAAATAGCGCATAGGTCCGCCATATTGCCTAGATAGCAAGCAGCTATGCGGCAATGTCACTCTCTGTTTTTGCAGGCGACACCCCTGCCATTTCTTTTTTTTTTTTTTGCCATATTGCATATCGACATATTTGGCTTGCGTCATTCACACGCAGTTTGCAGTGCTTCAAGGTGGCTTTTCTGCCCGATTGCCAACAAAGTGCAACATAAAAGCTGACTAAATAGAGCATGGTAAAAAAAATGACGTTCTTACTCAGTGTGTGGCGAAAAGTGCAGAGCGAACATTATCAACTTTTGTCTTGCAACATTCACATTTCGCAAATTTTTGGAATTTTCGAATGGATAACCAGTGGGAAGATTCAGTATTCACGTTACGCTGGTGAAATGAGACATTCGTTGACCTTGACAGCATATGAAATTATCCGATTAATCTTCGTAAATGCGACTCAATGAAGAGTTATGCCTTAGGATTTTGAAGTGCGTAAGAGCATAACGGCATACTCTTTGCACTATTCGCATTTTGTGACGCATGGTTGTTACTTCACTATTATAAAACAATTTATTTCACATGTAAACACAAATTCTTACTCAATATGCAGCCTACATAAAGTCAGTTTAGAGATCAGCTCCATGTTTTGGCGTAGCTTTGCGGTAGAGTATTGGACTGCCACTGAAAAAGCTCGGGTTCGACTCCCGATAGTGACACTTTTTTTTACATAGGTTTTTCTTTCTTTTTTTCAATTTCTTACAATAGTGGTCATGAACATTGATGGTGGCGAACATCTACGGCTGCGGAATCGGCCCTTGTGATCTCAAAGCTTTCGCTGTAAAACTCAGTGAATTCGACAACCGCGCTCTTTTAGCTACGTCAGTGGCGAATAAATATATTTTTATGAAGATAGGTAACCAGGCTTCGTTTGAACAAATAAGAATGTGCAACAAAGAACAGTGCAGTTCTCTTTAAGCATGTACACTACAAACGAAGGAGCACTCAGCAGCTGGTAAACTTTTTTACCAGTTTACCCAGTCATTGTTACGTTCCGATCGCTGTGATAATAGAACTGCAGACCTGGGCGCACATAGAGGAAATCCACAGTCACCCACACACATCTATGAACCGCATTCAGAAAAATCGCAAAGACCAGCCAGATTCCCTTTGTCGTGGCTGCGTCAGAACGCACAAACTTGGCCTGAGCATCAGCTTCTCCCCAATCATGATTGCTGGCGGCGCCGGCGGCGATAGAAAACAGTTGGGCTACTTTGGTCCCGTAGGGACCATATACAGTTACTCTAATATACAAAATCGAAGTGCGCCCTCTGGGGGCAAGAAAACCGGTACCCAAAAGGAAACCGAAACCATAACATCATACGAGACACCTGCCACTTGAAGTACTGCGCTGCAGACGTGATCCCAAACGGCACCTGAAGAAAACAATAGAGTTCAAACGGCGTTATGAACATGGCCACTACTTGGGACTGGGGTGACAGCTTGACCTGTTGGAAGCTTGACGTATTTCAAATGAGTCCTGCGGAAACCTGTAAGGTGGTGAAAGAGTTAAGAAATGGAAAGCAGATAACCACCCGTTTGTAGCACAAAGCCACAAGAAAATCCGTACGAACTTTTCAGAAACAAAAGCCTCTTAGTTGCTTAAAAATTCGTCCTTGTATCGGGTTCGAACCTGGAACCAACGCTTTTCCGGGGCGGTTGCCCAATGCTAGGAAGCTAGCATTGATAGCACAAGGGCGAATTCATCGACAACTCGAAGCACCTGTACACAAAAATATTGCAAATGAATTCCGCGGAAATTCACAAGGTGGCGGAAGGTTTAAAAAAGGGAAAGAAGAAAACCACCCGTTGGTAGCATGAAGTCCTTTTTTAAACTTGACGTAGCGTCTAACCTGGAAAAAACTGTAGTCTGTCTAAGCAAACCGAGCCATTGTTCCACTGTTGGAAGTACATGACGCTCTCTAAGAGTCACTTTACTGGGGAAAGTCAACAAGGGCGGTGCCAGGATTTTTTTCGGGGGCAGTACCGACGACAATTGTGTTCCTTCAAGGAAGGACGGAGGGTAAAACTTATGCATTGTGTTTTGACTATGCCTGCTCTTAGAG